AGAAAGTAAGAATATTCATCTTTGTGAGTGTCATCACTTATTTTAATAAATAATTTGTTTTCTTCTTAATTTCCCTTCATACCCAATGTAGTCTGTGCTCAGCCCCTTGCCTTAATTTGTCCTACTTGCTGACTTTTGGGGCAGCCTCTCAGTATGGTATCAGAATGATTTATCACAAGACATACTTCTGCATTTTTCAAAGTGCATACTCTGCTAAATGAAAATGTCAGACAGTTGTGGGCTTTGGATGTTGTTTTTTATCAATTAGCTGTGGACATTTTGTTAGTGGGCTTTTGTGGAACAAGTATCTTCAGTGTATCTATCTTAACAATAATCATCAATTTTGTTTTTGTGACAGCTGATGGACATGTTCTATCATTGAGATTCTGATGGTCTTTTATAGGGGTAAATTTAGAAGTATCTGCTTGTATAGAAAATTAGATGTGTAGCAGATCAGGGTGCTGATTTTTGCCTGTAAAATCAAGGTCAGAAGCCTTGGTGGATGCTGTGATGATTATGTGGCTTTTTGCAAAATTTCTTCAGTAATTTGTGAATTGAAATAAAGATTTTGTAAAATTCTTTGGGTTTTTCAGCAAAGCAAAACTAGATCAGCTCAACAGATAATTACTGGTAGAGTGAAGGTAGGGAGGGGTGTATTTAAGAAGGAGAAAGATGGGTAAATTCCTTCAATACTTTCCATCTTTGGCACTGTCCAGAAGACAGAGTTGGGAGATCGTTTGCACAGGATGAATGTGCTGGCTGGAACACTTAATTCCTGTTGAAACTGGTAGATAAGTTACCCAGTGGTTTGGGAGGCTGTCAAAGTATATAATTAAAATGTAATTGAAATTAGGTAGTGCTTTTTCTTAACTTTGCTGTCAGCCCATCCTGCTCACTGTTACATGGTGAGCAGAACAGGCTGAGTGATGCTTCTTCAAAGGAGAGAGAGGGATAACACTTGGAAGTGTCAGATTCTGAGGCAGATTTGGAGGACAGATAAAATCAGAAAAGGTAAGGAAAAAACCAGCTGAAAGTCTATAGATAACTATTTAAATTAAATAGACAGGCCAGGGTTTTGTAACTTGCTCTTTTGTAGTAGCTTATTTCAATTTTCTCCTTCACCCTGCCTGTCTGTCTTCCCCAAGGTGAGGGTTCATTACAGGAAAGGCTGCTCAAGTTAGGAGAGCTTGCTTTTTCCACCCCTAGTTTGCTTTTTCCACCCCACAATAAACTAATCTTGTCATGGGTAGAAAGAAGGCATGCTGCTTCACATAGGGGTTTAGCTTCCTAGGGCTGCCTGGTCAGCAGGATTTTTCCTATTTAGCCTTGCACGTTGAGCTTCTCTTTGCACATTCAAGAAAATTGTCAGCATGCAGAGGGGCAATTTATAGAATACTTAAAAGTAAAAATTAACAGAAACCTGTGCAAGGTTTCAGACAAAGCCCTGAAAAACAGATGAGAGAAAGAAGCAAGGGTTGTTCTGATGGAAGCCATCGGGAAAAAAGTTGAAATTAGAGGGTGTATGGAGGACATTGCCCTAGAGAACATTTGAAGGTGAGAGCAAGAAGAATGAATGTGATTCCAAAGGCAATAGGGCTTCCTTTGAAGTTGGGAAAATTTGCCAGACTTTGTACAAGGTCTGTTTAAATAAAGACTGTCTGCAAGACTGGATGTAATATTTGGTTATTAAGTAAAAGGGCATCTGCTCTCATAAAAGCCACCATGTTTTGTTCATGTATGTTATTGGCTATTTTCCTACTTTGTACAGGCTTTCTATAGAATAAGCTTATGGCAGCCTGACAAATGGAGCATTTATTGTGGCTAAAAGTACTGTAAACAAAACCAAAATAGCAAGTTTTATTGGCTTTTATAATACATTTCAATTTTTTAAATTGGCAGTAGTATAGTGGAATTTAGTGTTTTAGGACCCAAATGTTGTTATCTGAAAACAGTGGACTTCATTTCCCCATTCTTTTTTCTCTCCTCTACAGAGCTGTTTTTTCTATTTGCTGCTCACGCCCATGTGTTGTCGAAACAGATTCTAATAAGAAACATTTATGGTCTTAGTTGCTCGTTCACGTGCAGCTCCACATAAATGCATTGCCTGCATTTGTTCTCATCTGTTTAAAAAAGTAATTAGTTGCCTTTGAATTTTGAGGGAAATCATGATTTGAGTCTGCTTCTCATATTGTCTTGTTATGAGCTGAAGCATATGGAACCTTCATTATAAGTGAAACAAGATAAACTCTCCAAGGTAACAAAGAAACCTTCTTGAAATGCCTATGAAAATTAAATATCTGTCTTTCATACAAAGATTTGATCCAGCAATCATTATTCAAATAGAAATTCCATTGAAGACCAGAGGAATTTTGCTGGAGTAAAAGAGTTTATGATTAAATTCTGTTGGAATCAGTAGCAGTGTTGAACCTGGTTCCAGCAGGACCTGCTGTTGTCTTCCTAGGGAAAGGAGAGTTTCTTTGTTTTCCCATCTGAACTAACTTTTAATGTCAAATTCTTCAAGATACGCTTTGAAAAGAAATGTAGAAGCTATGAAGGCAAGGTGTTAGTTGTGGGCTTCTCTTTAAGAAGAGGCAAATGTCAAAATAGTTCATTTGCCCTTAGCAGGTGAGTGCTGGTAATGACACAGCATTGTTGATTGGTGGTAAGAACACCAATAATTGTTAAATAATTTTTTAAAATAAAATACCTTCTTCCCCATAGCAAAACATTAAGAATTTATGTCTTGTACTTGTTCTAAAACAAGTTAAGTGTCATTGGTAAATTTAAGATTTTGGTCATTCAGAAGCAGAAACATAGAAAAATTCACCAGTTTTATCAGAGATAGAGTATCAATGTTTGAACCCTGTGAGGAGAGGGAAAAAGGGAATGTTTTGTTACAGTGTAGGCTGAGATATTAAATTTGAATGTCAAAAAGTGAAGTCCTTTCTCCCTCCTACACTTCTTAAACCACTCATGAGCCTTATTTGTGCTGGTGTGTATATTTAGTGTGTGGCTGAGGAGCTGTGGGAGGACTTTCTCATTTGCAGGATGGTTTTTGTTTGGGGTTTTTAATCTGCCCAGGAGCTGTCTGAGCAAGGCTTGCTCACTATGGCTGGGGTACTGTTTCTATTTTTTTTAAGGGAATATGTGAACATATTTTCTTTTAAGGAGAGTTATAATGAAAGTAGGCTATCTTGTCTTCCAGTTTTTGCCATGTTATGTAGCACACAGACAATTGACTTTTGGTTCTGTTTTTGTTTTCTGTAACAACTCTATAGATGACTTAAAGTGTTTCTGGAATCAGTTACCAAAGAATTGAAGCATTATTAACTAAAAGGAAAAACAATCCATCTTCTTCAGACACATATTCCAGGTTTTGTATTTCATTTAAAGTACATAAATGAAGTTGCCTCACAACAGAAGAAAAGCTATTTTCCTAAAGATTTAATTATCCTTCACCTGGTTTGAGCTTCTGGGCCTACTGGTCTGGATTTATATTGTCCATTGTGAGAACAGAGGAGGTCTGATTCATTATTTTGCTTTAGTATGAAGTATAAAATCTTGTGAATATCACAAAGCAACATTAAAAAAAAAGGCATAATAATACTCCTTATCCTTTTGTTATGTCTTTGGTGTGTCACTTTTGGAATTATTTTCTCAACTCAAAACATGTAATCTCTGCCTGAAAACTTGATTACAGCTGTCACCTTTAAAATATATTTATGAAATCTGAAAATAAATTGAGGGCTATTTTTCTCCTTTCCTGACCTGTTTTTTTTTCCCTATATTTGGCAGGATTGAATAATGTATGTATAACTGTATAATCCATTTTATATCTGTGTTAACAGACAATTTAATTTCTTAGTCTCTCCAATTCAAAAGTTACTGGTGGTAAGGCACTGTTGTGAGTCTGTGTGCATGGATTTCTCCTGAAAATGGGTTTAGAGCACTTCTTTGGAGCTGGTGGATCTGAAATATGCCCTTGTGACCTTTTGAAATAGGGAAAGGCTCTTGGTGGTGGTTGTGAAGAAGGGATTGTGTGTTGGTCATTCATGTAGGTGAAGCTGTGGAGGGAAGATTGAGCCATAATTGTGCAGATGCTTCCATGGGACAATGGAGCACAATAGGGAAGGAATAAGACACTTGGATAATGATAAAGCTTTTGCTGGACCTGGCAAAGAAGCACACTTGGCTTTTTGAAACAGATGATCACACCTTTGATCTCTTTTCAAGGACTGGGGATTTATGTCATGGTTCCAAAGGAAATATTTCTGAAGTTAATCCTGCTGCTGACCTGCAGAAGTGAGGATGCTGTTGGATACACCTACGTGCTCAGTTGTGCCTGTGGAGTTTCTGTCAGCATCCAGAGGGGAGGCAATTGCAGAATTGAAATGGTGGCTGACTGTTCAGGGCTCTCAGATATTTCTTAGCCAGCATTGTTGCAGTTGTCATAAATCTTTACCAGTGCTTAGAAGGAAGGAAAGAGGGGAAAATGTTTGCTAGTGTGTAAACCTGGGAAAAATCCAAGGAGAAAAGGTTACTAGATCATGTAGTTGCCACATAGAATACATTAATATGCATCACTGCTAAATAAAGGACACTTGAAGACTATTAAAAAAAATAAAGTGTATCTGTATTTATAATTAAGTACAAATTCTCCTTCATAAGCAGATGGAAGCCCTTAACTTTGGTGATGTTTTGTCAGCTTCCAAAGTTGATTTTGATTTTGAAACAGGTGATCACTGTAAAGAGCTTCTCTTGCTTGGTTATTTAGTTTTGAAACAAATATAAACGAATTTTTTTGCTGAAAACAAATATAAGCAAAGAAGTTGTCTTTGAAAACAAATATAAACAAAGATTTTCAGTGCAGGAATGGTTGAATCTTTGATACAGGATTTGGATTTTCATACTTTAAATTGTTCTAACCAGATGCATTAACCAACTAACGGGAGTGTAATGATAGAAAAACACAACTTAATTTGCTCTTTTTCTCCTTCAAGGTGGTTTCCCCTAGAATCCAGACAAGGGAAGAGAACAAAAGACAGAGGAGAAATCAATGTCAATATTCAGTTTATGAGGAATAACATGACAGCAAGTATGTTTGATTTGTCAATGAAGGACAAAACCAAATCCCCATTTGCTAAACTAAAAGACAAAATGAAGGGTCGGAAAAACGATGGGACGTTTTCAGACACATCCTCTGCAATCATCCCAAGTACTCACACACCTGATGCAAATCTAGAGGTGTGTAGTGGTGAGGTGCAAATGAAATCAAAACCAAAAAAACCTTTCCTCTTGGGCCCTCAGAGGCTGTCCTCAGCTCACTCCATGTCAGACCTGACAGGACCCCACGTCTCCTCAGAGAAGATGAAAGCCAGCACTGTTGGCTACACCCATCTTTTCAGGCGCCAGCTGGAGTCCTTTGGTTCTGTTGATGAAGGGGGTAAGTAACACTCCTGACCATTGCAATTACAGATCACTGCTCTTAGAGCATTGAGAATCTCTTGCTTTAGTTTATGAAGCACTTACAAGGCCAAAATGTTAAGTACTGCTGGCCTATTTTTTATGCTTTCTTTAATTTCTGGTAACTCATGATTGCTGTTTCTGAGCATAAGAAGTAACTTGCATCGCTCATGATCTATGACAGTTTAGCATTGTCTCTTATTATGTCCTCATCTGAGAGTATATTGCATTCCAGAGGGGACTCTAGGCAAAATAGCATCTTGTGAGAAATAAGTCTAATTAAAAAGTCAAAAACTATCACCAAATTTTAAACCTGATTTATACAAAGAACTGAAAATACTTTGAATTGCTCAAAGTTATTATGCAACATCATGCTATTGTGTCTGGAATGGCACACCAGTCATAGCTGTCTTCTCTGTGGAAATTCATTTTCATGTAGGAAGCAAAAATTTCCTGTGGTGCCTATCCATAAACATTTCTGAAACATGAAATCAAGGCCACAGCTGGTTTTTTTTTTTTAATAGCTTAGTTAATCACCAGTGTTTTGAACTGAGGCTCAATTGCAAAGCTTCTAGATCTAAGCTAAAATGGGTTTTCTGCATGTCATAAACTGTGATATAGTGTCTCATTGATAATATACTAATGACAGATTGTTTGCAGGGAGTCTAAAATCTCCACACAGAAGGACATTAAGTGTTGATACTTCTAAAATGAGCCAACTTGACAGCACAGTTGATGAAACTGCACTTGAAGCACAAAATGACCCATTTAATGTGAGTGCTTCGTTACCCCAAAAATTTGCTACACTGCCAAGACAGAAGAATCCATTTGAAGAAAGCCCAGCAACGTGGGATCAAAACATAAGTCTGTTCTCCAAACCTGTCGAGATCAGAAAAGAAATTAAAAAAGAGAAAAAAGAGAAAGTTAGTCTTTTTGAAAGAGTGACTGGAAAAAAAGATAGCAAGAGGTCAGATAAACTTAGCAATGGGGGATCAGAGAGTTCTAGTGACTTGAAATCACCGAGTGCGTTTGGGGAAGCTCATCAGGAGAGTTTTGATTATGATTCCACTAATCCGTTTATGGCAAACTTCAAGCCTACGAGCATGTTGCCATCTTCAAGGTAGGTTTTTGCTGTATTTCAATCTGATATCTTGAACATGTTATATAAATGAAAATGTGGAGTATTGAGGAACACAATCTTCGTGCTTTATACATGTTTATATCAGTGCTTTTCTGTTTCTAAGTATGTTACAAACTTTTTATGTAATTTGATCGTTTCCTGCTTTGTTTTGAAGTGACTTCTTTATTGCTAATATGTGCTGTGAAGGTTTTTGGGTGCTTGTGTTTGTGGAAGACCTTGTTTGTGTTTTAGAATGGGCTCTCCCTCAAGTCTCCTGCTTTACCTGAACATTCATTGCTAATCTATTACATTGCCCTAAGTCAGCTTTTGAGAGGGAAAGGTTTCAAGTGGAAGGGGAAGAGGAAACTGACTGAATAAGAGTGGTGTGCAAATAGGATTAGTGAAAAGAAATCCTGTGGATGTCACTATTTGGGGGGGGGAAAAACAAAGGAGTATTTAGGTTCCTATGTTAGAGTACAAGAATTAAAGAACATTCTGTTTCTAAATGGGAGCACCCACATGAACGCTTATCTCACTTGAATTCATTTTGCTCACTGCAGCTTTGCTGAGTTCTGTGCATTGAAAGTGTTGCACAAGGCAGCAGTTTATGTCTTGAGCAGAATGAATTAAGTTACAGGGATGATAAAAAACTTTGATTTAAATAATCCATCTTAATCTTTATTTGTCTATCAATGCTTTACTTGTTTTCTTTAAGAAAAAGTGTAACTCACTTTTAGTTTCCTTCCAGGGTTCTGTATGCTAGTGAGAAAGATAATCTTGGCTGCCTGTCTCTCTTTATACATGCATAAATACATATATATATATTTATGTACACTGCCACCCACATATACTGTTCACAATAGATAAATGTTTAAGAAGGTAATTAACTTTCATTCCTTTGCATTCTTTTTTGTTTTGTATATAAATGACAGGAATTAGCAGTCCTTGCTTTTTCAAGGTAATCATTCATTTCTGTGTAATGACTTAAATTTGGTAGAAAATGCATTTGAAATTAAAATGCTTCAGACTGGAATCTAAAGTCTGTAAAATCAATCACTCTTTTAAATGGAAAATATAGTTCTAGAAAATTCACCTTTTCCTGTGTATTAATTCCTTAATTAATGACATGAGTAGTTTCTCTGTTAAAAAAAAAGGTTTTTGTTGTCTTGTTCTCTTAGAAGAGAGGGATCTTATTGTGTTCCAGCTCAGTTTTCTACATGAGTTAGAATGCATGCACTCCTGATTTAAACTTAGAATTATTTTCTTAACAAAGCTAATCATGGATGTGAATTAGGGAACTGAAATGAAATGGAACTGCCTCAGAAAAGAATTTGTTGCTAGAAGCTCATCTGACCTCAACAAATTATCTGCTTAGAGCCTTCCATGAGTCCAGTCAGTTCCTAGTGTCTTAAATGACATGTTTATACACAATCTTAGAATATTTTTTGTTTAATGAAGTATTTCTCTGGATTAGCTTAAGGTTAGGTTGTAGCTTGGTTTGTCAGAAGGTAAACTTCTGTTTTGGTAAGTTCCTTTAAAGAGAAATAATTCAAATAACAATTAAAATTGCATAGCATTTTTTTTTTAATGAAACACTGTATTCAGGCAGATGCTAGATATAATGAGTGAAATCTTTTGAAGTTCTTGAATGCAGCAGATCTTGATAAATATAAAACTTAATGGTAATCACGATGGACTTGTTTTCTTTGTTTTGTAATTAAAAAGCTCATCACAGTGCCCATTCAGAAGGACTGTAGTCATTTGTTTCTGTCTTTGTTTGAGAGTCCCTTTTACTGGTTCTTGACTTTTATGTAAACATAAACTTTTGATAAGACAAATAGATATTATTTTATTTTCAAACAGCCAAAACAGTAAACATTCTGACCTTTTTTGTGAAACAGCTATTATGGGATAATGTCTAGCATGCACTAAGTTAAGTTAGAAGCTCTTGTTTTTTATATGTTCTATTATGATGTTCTGTGTGAAGCTTTTAGACTTAGTTTACTTTCTTCCAAATGTATCTTATAGAATTATTTTCTTTTGAAGTAGAAACTAATACAAAATGTGCATATTTAATAAGTTTACAGTTTAAGTTTACCTTTTATCTGTGGAGGATTTCTCGGATGGAATCCATTTTTAAATTTTTTGAACTAGTGATACTGAAGAAAGAATTTGTATGAATATGTGCCCAAAATAAATGAGGCTGGGTAACAAATTCAGTATGCAGAAAGTGTAGAAAGGGAATTTAGTCTTTGGGTTGTTTCTTATTTACTCAATGTGCTGTTAAGATCTTTTGGATGAATCCCATTTGTGCAAGTAAACCAGGCAGTACATTTTTATTAGGGTGTGTCCAAAATTAGTGTTCTCTTGTGGACCAGGTGTTTGCTTTGCAGGTGGATCTCCCATGTAACCCCACCTTGCTAAGCCTTGGTTTGGGTGATGGAACATCCTGAGCAGATGAAATCCCACTGGAGGATGTATTCCAGGAGCACACTGGAGCCATAAAACACCCAGTCTGTGGGACCAGGCTGGACATAGAGAAAAGTGGAAGGGAAAAACCCAGCCCATAGCATCCCTCCCTCAAAAAAAACCCACCAAACCCAGCTCCTTCCTGTTTGTGGTGTGACTGTCACGTTCTCAGTGCTGGTGAAGCCACATCTGTAACCTCAGGGGGAAGCTTTTCAGTGACTTTGGTGAACCTTGGGTCAGGCTTAAGTCCATTCTTATTAATTGTGGTTGGCAATGTTGAGTGAGCAGTAACAATGTGGAGGACACAGCTCATGGCATCAGCTGGGTGAGCTGCTGAATAGCCCTTCACCAGCCCATCCTGCAGTGCTGAGCTGGCTGGCTAAATGCTCTGTCACTAATTACTCCTACTTACTAATTAAACAAATGAAGATAAGTATATCTTCCACGTGTTGCTCAGCTGCTGATCCAAGAATTATAGAAGTGGTTCAGCAGCACTTCTAGGATTTTTTTTTTCCAAAAGCAAGTATGCCAGGATTATATGAATTTTTTTAATTGCTATTATTTCTTATTGTTGTTTCAAGAAGGTTTTAGAAGTATTTTGGAGAAGCAAAACAAATACCTATTTAGTTTGTATATAATACTTATTGACAGGAAATCACAAAATATGGACCCCTAATTTCTATTAATCCCTGGTCTGGCAAAGTTGTTCCCTAGTTTGGACTAAATCTGTAAAATAGGGATAATACTTTGCTTCCTGCAAATGCTGAGTGGATTAAATGAGTAATTTTAAAGTGTTTTTACAGATATGATATAGCAGAGTTACATAAGTGTTAAGATTGGGGTTTCCATTGTCTGTTCTAGGAATAGTAGATATATTTGTGACCTGATTTCTTGACAATTTAAAAATGCAGGAGTCTCATAGTGAAACAAAAAATGCTGGTTTTGCAAATACTACAAAATCTGTTAGTTCCAGAGGTTTTGTATCGTATAGCCAATGAGGAATTTTTAAGTAAACAATGTCTAGTGCTCTTAGCCAGCATTTACCCATAATGATTTTGGTTTTGTACTTCTTAATGCACTGTTTTGAAACTTTTACCCAATATTGCCTTAAATTGCACTCATTCTTACAATTACTGCTATTGTGGCTCTCAGGAGGTTAATTTGCAGTCAGAAGCCACGTGGCTTTTGTGTTGAACACAGTTAAAGAAACTGAGGGTGCTCCTGGAAAACAAAGATTGTTTTGTGCCATAACCAAAGCCTGTGCATCGTTTTTCTGAAATTGTTTTTGTTTAGGAAAATACACGACACTACACTACAGGCTAATAAACTGATGTGAAAATTTCTCAATTTACACCACTTGACAAGTGCTAAAAGAAAAGCATCTTTAATTTTAATGTGTTATTAGGACCTTTTTAGAGAGATTGTACAAGTTATTAACAAGGTCCTCTGAGACAGGAGACGGGTAATTAACAAGACCTACAGAAAGGGAGTTTAGGTAATTAACAAGATCTCAGGCACTGGACACAGGGAGACAAATAGTCCAATATTTAAAGCTGACAGGTTGTTACTAGTCAGATCAAATTCCAGATCTGGGAAACTGGATTGGTGTTTGGGAGCTTTCTACTAAACATTATATATATATACACATACACAAATAATGTCTGTGTCTGTATATACACATATATGTATACAAGAGAGAGGCATTAAAAAAAACCCTTCTAAAGTAGCATTTCCTTGACCTAACTACTGTTTTACTTCACAGAAAAGAAGATAAAGCTTTTGTCTACATAAAGATTACACTTTATCTCAAGTTCTGGCAATAATTATGTTACATTCTTAGCAATGTGGAAGATGGAATAGTGGAGGAGAAAGGAACTTGTGACGTGCTAGTATTCACTGTAACAATTACACATAATGCTCATATTTATGATATTAATCACTGGTGAATTGGAGCATAAATTATGAAAATACTACTTAATTTTTTCTGTATTTTCTTACTGCTTCAGCAGTTTTTTAAATTTGCAGCTCAAAAAGAAAAAAAGGAGCAACTCAATCCTTCGACTCTTTTGCATCTTTCTGCTTGTAGTTTCTGAATGTGGTGATTTTCTTCAGCCTCTCTCCCACCTTCATCACAGTGGCTGTTAGAGCTGCCTGTCTCCTCAATGTCACATGTTCCAAACAAATCAAGAACTGCAGTTTTGTTTTTCCCAGTGGAGGCAATGTTTGAAATAAGCAATGGCTCTGCATTTTGATATGGCCATTATTAGATTTGTTAAAAAACAAGTGAGGTGCCATGAAAACAGGAGGCTTTTGATAACAGTGATGTGCTTGGATCACATTAAATTGTTAAGTCTGAAGAACAGCTGATGTCTGCTACATTTCAGCAACATTAATATTTTGAATGTGTGATGGTCAGGTGGTTAAAGAAGCTTTTGCAACATCCTGGTGTTCCTCTGGGTTCCTGCTTCTCACTTGAGCTGTGCCAGCAGAGCAGGTGCCAATCTCGAGTGAGCTGAAGTTGTAAAGTAAAA